TCAAACTTACAAGAGCTGGCCAAAATTACATAAAACATTAAATAAATAATTATTATAACTATAATAACTATAATTATAACTATTTTTATGTGATTTAGTGATGTACAGTCTGTTTTGAGTGGCTCATGTCACGGTCAACTCAAGCAGAGTGCACTCTTGTGATATATTTAGGTAACACACACCTTAAATTCACACAATTATTTCTCATCAAAACGTAGGATTATTGTTTAAAGGATCTGATCACGACAGGAAAATAACTCAATCAGCATGATGGTTTGCCCTGGGGAGTGGCCAGACCCTGGAAGAAAGTGTTTTATAAGTGTGTGAATTTCCAGACTTGTGGCTAAAAATGCAGAGACAAAATAAAGCCAGCATTTACCCCAACCATGGTTTGTGTTGGTGTCATTCTTACATTTAACTTTCAAGTCTTATATATTCTTGGTCCTTGACACACACAACGCGTATAACAATATATTTTCACCTGTACAATATTTAATGACATCATCTGTGGAGTGGTGGTAAGACAGTTGACTTGAGACCATAAAGTCACAGGTTTAATTCCCCACCATGAACACATGTTGTGGTGTCTTTGAGCGAGACACCAGTGATTCCCAAAGTTGGGGTCAGGACCCAAATTGGGGTCCTGAAACATCAAGGTGGGGTCCTGAAAAGATTTTCTAAATTAATTACATTTTTATCTTAGTTGCTTAAAATATTAGCCTGGTTTAAACCAGACCTTGTCCTTCACTTTGCTTCATACAACGGTCTGAACTTGATGCATAGAGAAGCGTTTCTTGCAGGAGGCGTGGCCTCTGCTGAAGTTTAAAATGATTGGATCAGTTGGCTGCGACGTCTGTCACTGTGACGGAGGCTAAGCTAAGAAGCTAACCGGAAATTGCGTGTGCTGTAAACAACCCCACTGAGAGGAGAAATATACCGAGTCGAACGAGACGACTGTAAATGAGAGCTGCTGCTTTGTCAGAAAAATTTATTTTAATTTGAAGCCTTATCAACACRGACTGGCTTCATTCACTTCCTCCACTGCTGTATGATAAAATAACTAGCAGACACTGYGCAGAACATCGACGTCATTCAAAACTTTGCCTTCTGTTCTCTGATTGGTCCAGGTAAAATCTGCCAGTGAAATCCTTGTCAATGGGAGAAGTCCCAGACAGAGCAGAGAAGGAAACTAGAATTGAGCGGAGCTGCGTAGGAAGGCAAGGGCCAGGCTACTAAAATGTATAAATGTAGAATAATAAACATTGTTACTATGCCCATGTTTAGTTGACCAGGTACAAATGTTCATCATCCAAAAATAGTTGTGGGCTCAGGTCTCTGCTACTGTTATTTTGTGGGTCAAAAGCTGAAAAGTTTGGGAACCACTGAACTTTAGAAATCAATAATTTAAAGGGTGAAATAATTGGTGATGTAATAGTTTCCCTATAATTATTACAAAAACACAAAATAAGCATAAATAAGTATTTATATTTGTGTAGCCTTTGTTTTTAGGGTTATTAACATAGTTTGTGTACTCAGACCAGTAATATTTGGGGTCACAAGTTTTTGCCATGAATATTTTGTGGGTCAGAAGATAAAAAGTTTGGGAACCACTGGTCTAACTGCTCCACTTGGGTGTATCTCATGTGTTATAGGTCAAATGCAGAGTCATTATAGGGATCATGAATTCATGGCAATACATAGCATCATATCATTGTTTTACATCGTAAGATTCCCTGGTACCAAACTTCTAGGTTGGCGCTTGTGATTGTGTAGGAAAGCAAATCAAAGCAAGACAGCTATTCAGCCAAAAAAAAAAAAAATCTCAAATTCTAATTCAAATGTTTTGATAAGGTGACAACAAATGGTGCTCAGGAGATTTTAAATTTCAAAGATTAAATCTACCAAACTGAGGTTTGCTGCTTTTGACTTAAGACATATTACCCAATGCTCACCCAGTTGTCCTAAAAGATACTCTGAGGACTTGTGCACTTTCCTGTMCCCCACAGTACAGTTTATAAGGGAGTGAATAGCATACAGCTTCTTTGCTCCCATGATGTTGTTGTCACCTCTTCGATCTGGAWGCTGTTCAGCTTATAATCTCCTGTGGGGGTCTGTCCGCATTCAAAACACAGAATATCATGTTTGAACTATGAAGATGAAGACGATTTATTGTTGTAATGGTTTCAATAACAGTTCTGGATTTAACACTTT